CCCCCCCCGTCTTTGGACTGAACGTCAATGTTGTCGTTGCACTGACAGACGAACTCAGGAAAAGATAGAAAATTGACGGCAATGACGGCGGAACAAGTGGAGAGAGCTGAGAGAGAGGTGATGAAGTACGTGACAGAGGGAATCCACTATAACAATGAGAACAGGTTGAGACTATTACGCGAAAGAGCACCGACGTACTTCAACGTCACCTAGGACATCCAGAGGTCAATAGCAGCAAACGGAGAGAAATCGGCGAGAGCGCAGCAGTTGCTGCATCGCTTACAGCAAAGTGTGTAAGTGGCTAAAGACGAGACGTTGGCATGTTGCTCTGCGTACACCCTTCAGCGAGTTGTCGAATGGATGTGTGATGACGAAGACATCAACAAGAGTAAGAGAGAGGGAGGTGTTTTTTACGACAGATCGGCGTTCAAGAAGTTTGTCACATCTCGGGCGAAGGAAGCTCGAATGTTGAAGACAACAGCGCATGACATATTGAAGAGTAATGCAGCGGAGATATTGGCACTCAGCAGGATGAACGAGCTACCTCAAACAGACCCTGTTGACTACCATGATTTGGCAACAGTGGTGGTGAGCGATGTCGAGTACGTCTTGCTCGATCAGATTATGGATTTAATGTTAAAGACAGATAATGATACAAATTTGATTCACGAGGCCTTACACGAGGTGACAGAGGACGCAATAGCAGCAGCAGAGCTTGCTGATGTCGAGAGCACAAAGGATGAAAATCAACTAGTGTCGGGGACTCCAATATGTCAGGAGAACATATTCACAGTCCTGGAGGACCCCACCTAGGCATCAACGGAAGCGGAGAGAATGAGCAAAAGAATGCAAGGATGACAATTGGTTGTTGTGGAAACAATCAATGCGACACACCATATGCCAGAGAGCACACTGCAGACTACAAGTGGCGTGGGATCTTTAACAGCGGTTCAGAACCCGTTGACGATTCCTACTGCGGATACGTTGAGTGTCCATAATGCATTCAGAGCGTGGAGATTACCACCCTTTCGTCCTTCACATGAGATCATCGAAGGACACGAACAAGTGGTATTCCAGGAAGTGCATGCGGATGGCGGAACTAGTGAGAGTGGCCATGCACAGACAAGGGATGATGAGAAACCGCCGTCATGCGAGGTGGGATTGAGTGGCAGTGATATCTGTGATGACGAGGAGGGTGACGAATAGGACTCTTATTGGGACGTTCAGCGTGGTGGTGGACAGGCCCCGAAAGGGTTGTGTCATGCAATTTTAAGGTTGGCACGTGTTTCGCAGAGCCACACCCGTTGATACGTGTTGTAGACAAGGCAATAACACCGGACGGGTCTCTTCAGTTCGCAGGCGTTAAGGCAGTTATGTCGTGCATGGAAAACGGCAAACGATGGCATCGCACAGGAAAATCATGATTTGTTCTCGTACATAAGGAGACAATTTTTATGACATCAATGTCATGGGGTGTGAACCTCAGTTGCATCATACATGGAGCAGTTGCCACTGCATGCGGAGGAACCGTGCATCCCACAATGTCAACAGCACATGCAATTATAAATGCACAACCAAAACGCCGCCTCTCTCTCACGACAGACGACACCATCGATGCTGCGATCGACAGAGGACATTCAGAGGAAGAACATTCGAAACGCAGAAAATTATAGGACTCTCTCTCTCTCTCTCTCTCTCTCTCTCTCTCTCTCTCTCTCTCTCTCTCTCTCTCTCTCTCTCTCTTTGTTATTGTTTTGACCGTATCACAGTCACTCACACTTGTGATGATGAGGTTGGGAACTAGGGGCCATATATAAGGACGTTGTTGGTATATTACGGCGTAAGTGGCACCCACTTCCTAACCTTGTACAAATGTGAGGTTTTTTATATCTTTATTGCAAAATTTCATCACATTTACAGACCGGTCTTCCACATACATTCGTGACGATATCATTGAGATGTCGGGGTCGTGTATTAACATGTTTTTGTCGTATTACGCCATAAGTGATATGAAGTTGTCCTTAACTTTGTTGAAATGTTGCAGTTACACAAATTGGTTTCTAAGTCATCTCTCTCTCTCTCTCTCTCTCTCTCTCTCTCTCTCTCTCTCTCTCTCTCTCTCTCTCTC